GTGCTTCTCCAAATGGAAGCCTCGGAAAACCTATTTCTAGGAGTACCCTATTTTCAGAACCGCCCAACATGATTTTGGATTTCCAGGTTGACGTCGGAAAATAATCTGAGCATATGTTTGGGTGTGTCGAAAAAGGGGGACCTCCAAAATGATACTTTCCCTTGAGGTGTCAAGAGTGCCGTCGAGCAAATCAATTCTGCAAGGGTACCCTCAAAAAGGATGTGCTATAGCGAACAAGGAATCCCTTGAATTTGCAATAATGTTCCATGGTTGCGTGGTTGAGTATGCGTGGTTCACTTGCGCTATTTAGGGTAGTCACCTCCAGCTTTCTCAGAGTCGATGTTTGGGGGGTGCAAAATAGGGGCCTCTAAATGGGTGCTAAGTAGACATATTGCCCCACATTGGGCATGCATCGCAGCAAGGGGACACCCAAAATGGTGGTGTTTGTTTGGATCTCCCTTTGAACCAACCTTTCAAGTATTACCCACAAAACAGCCCCACACTTTCTTGATTTTCTGCTAAGTGACCCCTATTCTAATGGCAATCGATTTGATTAATTTGATGTGTTTTGGCAAGGTTAGCGTTGCAACCCTTGCCTATGTTGTTTCTTTTTGGTGGTTTCAAGCAACACTCTTACTGGCCAGTCAACTCAGCAGGCCAGCGGTAAATAAATGGACCGTTTCAAGGTAAGCCCTTGAGAGCCAAAGTTGGGGAAAGAACGGTTCTTGGAACCTTCCTACGGCCTTTGACCGAAGGTTCTCATCCAATCTTCCGGTGTTTGTTTCCCCCCCCTCGTCCCTGAAGGTGAAGACCTTGACGGATCTTGGGGTTACCACCTTCGTTTGCCTGCAAGAGAGGGGTGAGCTGAACCGCTTCACGCCTTACATGAGCGTAGCGCGGCGCTTGCACAAGGACTGGGTTGGCGCGGTTACGTTGGTTTGATTCCAGAGCTGATGATCCTGTTTGCAATCAGCTTCTGAGTTTTCAGGCCCTTATGCGGAAGCCATCACTCACTTTGGACAGGGGTCCGACCACGAACCATGAGCTCACCAGAAACTGGGAACAGACTTAAGCTTCAGTCATCCTAGTTCAATGGTCGAAGACTCGGTCAAAAGTACCAGAACAATGGTCCATTTGGGGTTTGGGACATGGCGAACCCGGGACGAGCCCAAGCTTTCCCATGTAGCATGCTCAAATGGATCCGGGGTCCCGGTTTTTGGCCCAGGTAGTTTCCCTTGGTAATGCTGGTGCTTGCAGGGCAAACATCGGGAACTCTGCGGATCCAGGACCCTGCAAGCTTGGAGTTCTTCCACTGCCCCATGCCGGACGGAGGGACCACATCCGCAGAGGAGCTGAACAAGGCGGTCGCAACCATTGTGGACCGACTTCTGGCAGGGCGTACGGCACCTCGGCTCGGTTGAAACCGCGAGGGGTCCCTGCGTTCGCCGTTCATAGCACTACAGTCTATACACGCATGCGTATTTGTATATACATATATATATATATATGTACTGTACATATGTGAGTATTTGCTCCAGTCTTCCTCCCCCCCTTCCCCTTCCCCCAATGGTCATCAGGCTTACTTACTGTTTTTTTGGTGAAAGGTCTACGTGCACTGCTGGGGCGGGCACGGTCGCACTGGCACGGTGATCGCTGCCTTCCTGGTGACCTGCTACGGCTTGAGCCGGCAGCAGGCGGAGGACTTCTACAACGCGGGGGAGCAGGCGAGAGACGTATATCGGGTAGCCGGTAATTGGTGGCTTGGATTGGTGGTTTGGGATTTGAACACCTGGCTTTTGTAGAGGGTAAATGTGAGATGACACCTTTGGCCACCAAACCACCAATCCAAACCATCAATTAGGGTTCGAGGCTCGGGACTGGTTCTTGGGCTGGTTTAAAGGAAAACCAACAGGAAGACCACGATATGTGGGGGTCCCCTCGATTTTAGGGCTGTGATGGTGGTTTGCAAATGGAGCCACGATTAAGGAACCCTTCTTCTTCACCACGGCTTCAACTCAACAGAATTCCCAACCCTAAACTGGTGCGTCAGCGTTAGCCGGAAAGAGTGGGGGTGGGTTTTTTGCCCCCCCCCCTCCCATTTTGACACATGTCGTGCCCTGCTTCTTGCAGAGGTAAATGGGGAATCCAATGCAGCCCACCAATTGAGCACGGGTAAACCCATACAAAATGCCCCAAAACAAGGAGGGTAGCCCTCCAAACCCCGACATTGTTGGAGGCGCGCAAAGCGCGGCAGGGCTATTGGCCCCACTCTTCGTCTCAGAGACTTGGAACAAAGTCATGGGGCAACCTGTCATCTTTCGTTGCTCATCGGCAGGCCTCGTGTTGATATCACTTCATTGTGAATGTGACACCGGAAGCTGCATCATTGGCCGAGACATGGTGCATGAACGGGCACCGCTGACCGCAGTCACCTGAGGCGTGAGCAAGTGAACAGCCTTGAGGGATGTAGTTTCCGACGATCTTCTCTTCTGCAGCCACTGGCAGATTGGGCAACGCAAAAACGATTGCCAGCGCATCAAGGCGGGTGACTCGCTCGGGAGGGCTCTTCTTTGGTCCCTTTTCAAGTGCCCTTTGATGTCCAAACCTTGGCACTCCCAATCAAAGACGCGACTTAAGCCTCCCTGCATCGCTGAATCTATGGGTCTCCCAAGGCTGCTTGAGGTGATACTTGCGAGGACTCTGTAGGTGGTGAAAAGCCTCGCTAGCTTCCGGTCCTCTCAAGTTCAGTCGTGAAACCGTGACGGCCACACGAACACGCTCCGTCCACAGTAAGAATGCGCGCGGCCAGGGGAATGGCAAACCTTCCTAGTTGGTCACCTACTCATACATCGAGGGCAATCATCGTAGATGCGGGAATGATCGATTATCAAACGTCTGAAAGACAAGAGTGCCTTATTGCGATAGATCGTGCATCCAACTGCCGATGTGGCAAGCATGTGCAAGTAACAAATCTGCAGGCAATCATGGTGGGGCACATCGTGAGAGATGTGAGCTCGGCAAATGTGCTATGTATGGAAGGGGCGGATCAATACTCCCTGATTGATTGATAGGGAGTGTCCCCTTTAGTCGGGCTTCTTCACTTTGGAAGGGAATGCCCCCCTACCCGCCTAATAACGGGGGGCGGTTCTTAATCTAGGGTCAACAGTAACCCTTCCCCCAACATGTTCCCTCAAGCAAAGCGGGAGCAATGTATTGGTGGCTGCCAGATGGGGGAAATGTATGGTTTTGGGGGGGGGGGGGGGGGGTGATGGGGGGTGAACGCGGCAACTAAGGGCTCAACCCGGCATGGTTTCGCAAGGCATCAGCTGCTGCGGCGTGACCATTGCGAGCCCAGCGTGAAAAGCAGCGGACAGGTTGCTTGAAAGGATGAAAATGAACTCCGGCTACCCCTTAGTTGGTAGTTTGGATTGGTGTGGTGGTTTGGGAAATTGAGCCCCTGGCGCTTGTAGAGATGATGACATTTCTTGACCAGAGAGGTTCAAATGCTTCGGGTTGGAGTCTATTTGCGGCCTTGAGCCTGGGTCGCATGGAAAGTTCAAAGCCACGGATGATGTGCTTCGGCATGTGAAGCATTTGCCCAAAGCTCGTGACAACTTGTGCCTTCCATGAAGATTTTGACGACTGCCCAACAATTCCTTGCCTTCACCATGCGCTGAAACCAGACATTGACCCTGTCCAGTCAGCGCAAGCACATCCTACAGTTTGACTTAGCTTGCTTGGCTAGGTTGGGGAAATGCTTGTTTATCAACGCCGCAGCAAACAGAAAGGCCCGTAGTGACCTGGGAAATAGAATGTCCTGAGTATGTCATTCGCCCTCCAAGAATCGATGCTTTTGCAATTTTACCTCTGGCAGCTGCCTGCAGTCCCAGATTCCAGTCCTCTCTGGTGATGTTGGCTCCCCTTGCCCCACATACAAAACATTTGTGCAGGGCTTCCCTTCTGCCTTGAAGTAGGGCATCTGTCCCAAATGCTGCGGCTTACGCTGGGGCCGCTGCCTGCCGGTGTGGCCGCCCACGTCTTGGACTTCGCGGAGACAGAGGCGGGGGTCCCAAAATTGGATCAAATTGGGTGGTGTCCTTTTGGTTGTGCTTTAACACGTCCCAAGGCGATTTATACATGTCCTGCTGGACAGATGTGCAGATGTAAAGTAAGTGTCCATTTGGTGGGGGGATGTTTGAAGTGCAGGCTCCGTTTGCAAGCTGAACAAATCGTCTTCCAACAGGATGCTCCATGTTCGTTCGGGTCCAGCGAGGTGTTGTTTTCCGCGCGCGGGCTGAGCCGTCACTTCAAAGCTGCGTGTGACGGCGCCTGCGGTTTGCCGCGCTTAAGGCAGCTGCTGGCACGAGCGCGGCACCTGGTGGAGGTCACGCCTCATTGGAGGCAGAAGATTGGGATGGAAAAGCGTTGGGCGGAATTCTTGAGTTGGCAAGCTTCAGTGATGACCCCTGCTTAATAAACCTCCCACTTGTTTTTCAGGGGGTCCGTTTTTGATGCGGAGTACTTTCTTTATCTTTCTGCCAACATAACTGGTCAATACTGCAATTGGGGATGTGTTACTCAGGCATCAACACTAGTGTTGCCAATTTGAGTCAAGGCCCAAGCTTTGGTGAAACTTTTGATGCCAGTCAACTTAGCTGCTCGGAAGTGTGGCCATGTCCAAGAGTTTGCCGAACATCTTATGTCGGGCCTGCAGAACTGACCCATCAGGCAAAGAAAACGTGGTTGCACCGTGGATGGACGAAATCCCGCACCACCTAAGAAACCCTGGTTTCTGATGATTCCACTGTAACTACCAACAAACAATGGGTTTCCCATGATTTCGAAGTGGTGCGAAATAGATTTCGTCCATCCACAACATGACAAAATGTTTCACGGCAGCTTGGAGAGGCCTGACTCCGCTGAAGCCGGGCTCTTCCACTCTCACTTCGAGGGCAACGGCCTGGCCTTCTGCCACAAGTCCGTGGCGCTGCTTGGGGCCCTGTCCCAACTGCGGGCGCTCGAAAACCTGCAGCGGGCGCACTTCCAATGGCATTGCATAGATACCCCCCAGAAGGTGGACCGATACCTGGATGGTCGACTCTGTCGAGCTCGAGGCCTTTGGCAAGGGCCAGGAAGTGAGGCATATACAGAGGCTTGTCATCACTTTGTGATTTGTCATGCGACTTTCACATTTGCTCTGCGTGCGCATCCACAAACACTTGCAAATTCTGGGCGAGGCGTGGTTCATTCGGTGTGGCATGGTAGCTCACTTTTGTATTGCTTCTGTGGCCCTCAGCCAATGTGCCACCCAAATCCCACCCTGATCGCACCCGAATACCACCCTAAGCCCCACACCCACCCCAAATTGACCGGGACCTCAATCCTAGCCTTGACGCAAACCGAAATCAAGCGTAGACCCACCTTAAACCTGCCTGAAGCCTGAAACCGCCCCAAACCAACCCTAAACCTGCCTTAAACCACAAGACCAACCCTAAACCCACCATAAATTGATCGCTCTAAATCAACTCTACCCCATCCAGAAACGGATTCCAAATGCAACCCCTGAACCCAAAAGCATCCTCAAGTTGGCCCCAAACCGCCCGTCCACCTGAGGAACAAGAAAGAAAAGACTTGCCCACGCTGTTCTCGACCTGTCGGTGGCTGCTTCGCAGCATGGTAACAGCTCCTGCGCCCAACACTGTCCACTTCTACCATGCTTCTTGGCATGCAATCTTAGCATCCGCTTTCCTCGGTGTGGGGTTGGTCTTCTGAGGGCTGTGGTAATTTGGTTTCTGGGCCTTTCTGTTGCCGGGGAGTTCTCTTCAAAGATCTTGAAAGTGATGTAGTGGTCGTGGAAATGGGCTTTTGTTGGTGTCACAAGAGTTTTTCTTGAGCATGATGGCCTGTTTGGGGAGGACCCCGGTTGATTTTCATCTGAATTTCCACATCCGAAGTGATGCAACTTGAGGCCTTCGTGGACACCATGGGGGTTGACGGAATGGGGGCAGATGGACTGCCCATACAGATTCCGCTCTTGTGCTGGGAGCCAGCATGAATTCGCCGCCTCCCTTTTTGGCTGATTTGCAGTAGGCTTCCCCTGAAGCCGGGTGCAGTCAGTGCAACGCTTGCCCGTGGCCCACGGCTGAATCAGATTTTGGGCCAATATTTTTGTCCGAAAGGGAACATCCCATAGAGTGGCAAACAAGGTGAGTGCATGTCGCATTTTGCGCCTGGAGTGCACCGGAGTGACTCGAGCACAGCAGGAATGGACAACATTGCTCCAACAATCATCCTGAATAATTTGTGTGGGTCGCCGTGTGCCTGTTGCTTCGGCAGCTTCCAGCAATGCGATGAACCCCTGGTTGCTTGTAACCATGGCATGGCATCTGAAAATCCTTGCTTTGCTTTATGGGTTGAGTGTACAGCGACAACTGACAACGAGTTGCCAGGCAAAAAGCGTTTTTGTTTTTAATCCCTGCTGGGGCTTGGCAGGGATTATGCCGTCCTGGCGCGTCAGCCCTTGCAATGTGCTGCTCATGCAATGACCAGGCTGGGCAACCTAAAATTGATTGACTTAAAATCGGCTGCTTGCACCGGGCTTGGGGCATCATAATGCATGCAGCCAGTGGCCTGCTCATGCCTCAGCTGATGAGGTTCTGTGGGTTGAGAGGCATTGAGCAGAAGCTGTTTGCACAAATTATAACAAGCTCATCTAGTGGCATGACAAGCTCATCCACAAAGGTACCTTACTTGGGGTTCCTTAGTTCCAGTTGTAAATTGCAGTTATTCGGCCAGCGCCATGGTTGCAATAGACAACTGCAACAGTTCCAAGGAACAAACGCCGGAACCCGCAACACCGCCAGCCGCCCGCGGCCCTATGCGAGCGGAAGATGCAAAGAAGGGCCTGCGAGAGGCTGCAAAGCTGGGCCAGGCGGAAGTGGCTGCTGGCTTGCTGACGGGCTGCGTCCAGAGGAAGGTCCAGTTGGACCAGGACCGCTGGCTTTCCGATCTTCTATGGAGAAAAGCTCCCCACAGTAATTCCTTTGGATTAGTCCGAAGTTAAGACTGGGCTGGGACTATAGTGAAGGGTGAAAGGAGCCCCTCCTCAAGCATGTTATCCAGTAGTAGTGCTCTTACTGGAGGCTTTCAAAGTCCACGCCTGCAGCTGAAAACCTCCTTGTTGAGCTGCATTCAATTGCAGTCAGGCTATGCACCCCATGATTGCTTTTGACCTGTCAGCGGGCCATGTGCGCTGCCCCATTTTTGTGCCCCGGGTGCTGGGAGAATATTGGTGGCCTGACCATCAGTTTCTTGTGCATTGCTTGACCCTTCAGTTGCTTTTCGCACGTGCCTGTTGCTTGGGTATAGAAAAGTCAGATATCATGCCAGATTTATCATTAGCATCACTAAATTTATCTGCTAGAAAAAATATATTTTAAGCAAGTAATTCTTGGATATAAAGATTGTGCATTTTCTTTAAACGCAAAAGGAGTAAGCACTGTTTTTGATAAAAGGCAGCATGTGTTGAGGGTCTCGCTGGGTGCCTACCGGATGATTCTCAAAATGTGAAGTGCAGAAGATTTGGGTTCAGGGCCCCTTTCGATACCACTTCGGTCCCGCAGGGCTATCCACGTTTCATGCCACGCTAGGTGGTTGAGTCATTGACTTGAAGCTTTTGGGTCTATGTTTCTTTGAGGTAGCCCTTTCAAGCCACCAGAGGTAGGTTCTATCTTCACACTCACCTGTCCAAAGCCAACTTTTTTGACCTTGTAGTTCCCCGTGATTTATGGCTCCATTTTTTTGGCCGTTCATTTCTAGGTCCTTTGGGCAACTGGTGCTTTTCCGCAGGCTGCCTGGACCGCCGGCCTCTCTGCCTGCAAAAAGGCGGCGGCGTGGCAAACGGCCTCGCTGATCCTGTCGCACCTTGGGTTTCAAATCGCCTCACGTACCAACTTGAGTTGGGGGTCCGCAGTCCACATGCGTTTTGTCCGACGCAGAGCGTCTTCTCACCCTGCGCCAACCTGGTTGGTGGACATGAAATGATGCCTACCCAAGAGTCCCCAATTAAAATGCATGCCCATCTGGGGTGCCTACATTTCCCCTTGAACATCACCCCACCGAAAGGAAATTCACTTTCAATTGACCCAGAAGGTGATGTGTAAACCCACCCTTTTGATGGAAGTATGGAGAACCCTCATATTTTAGCCCGCTGGCAATGGATGAGCGTTTGCATGAAACCCATCCAGCCCCTTTATTGCATGGATTGGGGTCAGGTGCAAAGAAGCAAGTAAGGAGCTGCTTTTGGCCTGGCGTGTGGAACCAGCATCCCAACCTGCCAGGCAACTTTTTCGGGGGGGGGGGAGGGCGGATTGCAACTGCCGCTGGCTTGTGAAAAGGGCAGCGTGTGAATCTCAAGGGTGATTTTCTTGTGTGGAGTTGGGACGATCCAACTTGGCGAACTTCTCTGGTTCCACCCTCCGTGCTGGATCAACGTGGAAATGACTTGACGAAATCAAATGAAGACTACCAGGTTGAACAGCGAATGTATTGCTGAAGCACCCCATAGCTTGGCAGAGGCCTGTCTCAGCAATGGTGGCCTTGGTCATGTCACAATCTTATAGTTCACAGGAACCTTTGTGTGAACTTAGTTTGTACATTTGGGTGAAAGCACATGGCGCAATTCCCTCGCATGTCTTGGTGGTTGCCAGCCATCCCCTTAGATTTTTGGTATTTTAGTGTTTAGTGGGGATTTCCATTTAACCCACGCACAGTTGGCCATTTTTAGCGGGGGATCTGACAGCCCGACTTTGGGTTTAGTTCACCGCCCCAGGCAAGATGTCCGCTTCGACGTGGTCTCCTTGGGGGCGGCCATCAGCTGCTTCGGGGCGGCTTCGCAGTGGCAACGCGCCATCGCCGCGTTGCGGATCCAAACCAACCAGCTCCAGCCCCACGTCACCGTCTGAAGTTCAGTGGCACCATCTAATTTTTGTTGTTCGGGTTTCTCGCATTTTCCTAGGTGTTGATTCCCCTTTCTTTTCAACCATCGTTCTTTTCAAGAACCAGCTGTTTGGCTGTTTTCCCAGGGTTTTGGTTTTCTAGAAAGAAGGATCCCTGGAAAGAATAGGGAAGCTACCCTTTGAATTTAAGAGTCAACCCCTAGAATGGGTTCTTCTTTCCTAGGGGTCACTGGGCAACATGGCCCCTTGAAGAGTGGGACATGCGGGGCAGGGGTGGGCCGGGTTGGGGAGGGAGTTGGCGATGGCCTTGATGGTTTTGATGGCTTTGATTTGTTTTTACTTGCCAGGAGGGGGCGTGCTTGTGTTGGATTTTTCTGCTTGCTGCAGCTCCATTTTGAATCGAAGCCGCTCACTCCCATGGGAGCTTTGCACAGTGGATTGCGAAGCGGTTTGGGATCCCTGACTTGCCGACAGCGGGTACATAGAATTCAAAGCACAGGTCGCCTTTCATTTTTTCCAGGCTGAGAAACTCACCTCCCTCCCCAACCTCCGTTCCCAACCTCCCCCCCCCCCCAACCTGCCCCCGCAACCTCCCCCGCAACCTCCCCCGCAACCTCCCCCTCAACCTCCCCCCCAACCTCCCCCCCAACCTCCCCCCCAACCTCCCCCCCTCCTTTGCCATTTGCGCGGCAAAAGGAAAACCTCTCGAGGTCCAGCGTCATCTCCTTCAACGCTGCGATTACCGCCTGTGAGAAGGGCAGCCAATGGCTGGTGGCTGCACAGGTGCTGCAAGGCATAAAGGACCTGTTTTGTCAGTATCCAAATTGGTGTCATCATAGACTAAGCTTAAGCGGTTGGTTGAATTATTAAACAAATATATATCCATTATATATATATATATACATATGTATCTTACATACGCTTATATTTTTGTATAGTAAATCGGAGCACTCATAAGCAGATAGTCGAACAGAAGAAGCAATGCACAACTCGTTCAATGCATAAGCAGAAGACTCTTGAGGAGCAGCACCTGCTGCCCGACTGCATCTCTTACAGTGGCATGATCAGCGCTTGTCAGAAGAACAGCTTCTCATCTGAAGCGAATCGAGCCTGTGACCTTTAGCTGGGTCTGGAACTTTTTTTGTTGAGGCATAGAGGGAAGCCAGAAACATCTCAATCTGTTGAGGTCCTCCAATTTTTGCATACTCTGGTCCCATGTTGCAGAACCCGTGTTTGCTGCCGGGTTTCCAGTGGTCCATATGTTTAAGGCCCCAAGGGGTTCATTGAGTTTCCAGTGCCAAGTGAGGTTTGTGGGACCAGGCCATAGACTGCTTGCAGCTTATGCGGTCCGCTGCGGTTCCGCCGGATCGCATCGCCCTGAACTCGGCAATGAGCGCCTGTGCCAAAGCCGGTCTGTGGGAAAACGCGATTTCGCTGCTCGGGGAGATGGAGCAAGACGACTTGCAGCCCGACCTCATCACATGCAGCGCTCTCACCACTGCTTGTGAAAAGGCCAGCAAGTGGCCCAGACACGCAGTGGGTCTTCCTTGTTCCTTGCTCTTCTTTTGTTTTGGGGGGAGGGGTTCCCTTTAAAATCAGCCAACCCGAAAAAGAGTTGCTTACCTTGGTTCCTAGGATTTTCCAATAGAACTCAAGGGCCAAAACGAGGGTGCCCCTGTTTCTCCATGGCCCTTGGGTTGAGGTGGGACTTGGCCTTGGCCACGGTGCAGATGATGCCATCGCTGAATCTGCAGCCATCCACGGTGACCTGCAGCTCGTTGATCAGCGCCTGCGGCAGAGGTGGGCAGTGGCCTCTGGCGCTGAGCGTTTTGCACGGCATGCTGCTTGGCGGATCTTGGCAAGCCTGATCTCACCTCACATCCGTTGTTTTAGGGTGCTTTTAGGTGTTGTTTGGTCAGTTTTTAGCGGCAAAAGGTTGCCCTGAACTATGTCCGGGTCTAAAATGGGCAGCTGAGTTTTAGGTAAGCAAAACATTTTCCTGCCAGATCTTCAATGGGTGGTTCCCTTGAGTTACCTGCAGTTGGGTGAAAGTAGATCGCGCAATTCCCGCCTATTGGTCGTTCCCTGAACCTACAAAACGAATACTTTCACCCTGGTGCATCTGCGCGCCCAAAACGGGTCGTATCCCTACACATGTTTCTATTGTGTGTGCGTTTGGGTCTTGGGCTGTACCTTTGCATGTGTGTTATTTTCAGAAACATCAAAGCTCATCAGGTAAGAACCCCGTAGATGAAGATAGTTACTATATACATGTGTATGTATATATATAGATATATGTACGTATATGAAGATGTTTTAGCAGCTGTTCAGGTGACGCTTACTTGGTTTGGATTAGTCCTTTGGCTTGAACGCCAGCTCCTTTTCAAGCCACAAGGGTTGCCCTACAAGTTACCAAGCCAAGCACTTTGGTTTTTGCACTCCGAGGATGGAAAGTTCCATCTCCTTGAACCAGGTCTCGCTTGGTGCAGCCATCACCGCCTGCAGCCTGGGCAATGAGTGGCAAAGATCCTGGTCGCAAACTGGCCCAACCGCTAAATGTCTCAACTGGCCAAACAAATTGCGACAGGTTTCCTTGCCGACCCCGGGCTCCGAGGTGCATTTCTTGTTTCAGGTTGGTGACCCTTTGACCTTCTAGTCAAGGCCCCAAAAGGTTAGCATTTTATTCCAGGTCCTTCGGGCAACGAAGCCCGGGCGAATTCAAGGAAGCAAGAAAAGGTATAAATGCTTGTGCTTTCACATCTCACGTGTCCGAAGCCACCTTTTGGGTCTTGGTGTTGGTCTAAGTCAAGGCAAGAAAACAAGGCCCATTGGAAGTGGATCGGAGGGTTTGGAAGGCGACCTTCCTCACCCCCAAACGTCCGCTGGCATTGGACTTTTGGTTCAGAAAGATGGCGGCCAGGTTTGCTATGCTTTTATATTTGGCCCTGCCAACCCTGGAGTGGTTGACATATAAGACACAAGCTCTAGGAAACCTAGAGGACCTAGAGGATGTTGGCCGAATTCCCACCAAAAGGGCAGGGGTTCGTGCCGCTCACTTGCCCAAAGCGAGTCGACCTTTCAGACCTGTCAGTTTTTCCTTGGTCATTTTTGTACCCTGAAATATGTTTGGGTCCAAAGTGGGCAACTGAGATTCATTTAAGTATTCCTGTTGGATCTTCAAGGGTTTGTTCCTCTTTGGTTACCTAAAGTTGGGTGAAAGTAGATCGAACAATTCCAGCCTCTTGGGGGTTCGTCATCCCCTTAACCTACAAAACTTTCATCCTGGTGCATCCGCATGCCCAAAACAATTTATGAAAGGTGTGTGTGTGTGTGTGGGTTTGGGTCTTGGGTGAAGGTGATCACCCGGTCAAAAATTAAGTCACCCGGGGACCGCAGGTTTTAGTCTACTGTTCAATTTGCCAGGGTCCCAGTTTGGGTACCTATTTTTGACCCACAGCCACCTCATGTTTGCTGGTTGCAAACTCCGAGGATGCCTGGCTCTTTTGCAGGGTATGCCATCCTGGCGCCTCAAGTCCAACGAGGTGACCTACAATTCCGCCATCACAGCGCTGGAGACGTCCCAGCGCTGGGACATCGCACTTTGGATGCCCTGTGGGATGTTGTCGTTTTTTGTGTTTTTTTTTGGGGGGGGGTGAGAGTATCAAAGCTATGAGCATGGTGATGTTGTTTGGCAACAAGGCAAGTTGGTCAGGTGAAAAAATGGGTTTAGGGTCACTTTCTGCGACAATAGCGAATGGGACACCCTTGAAAGCGATGAGGCATTTGTTTGAATCAAAACCCATGGCCAGGAAACCCTCGACTGGTGTGTTGGGGGCATTATCGAAACTACCTTAAAAAGTTGAGTCTACTATTAGTGTGAGGATCACATACGGAACTGCAACTTAAATTCAATTTTGGTACCTTACAGTTGGTTCCCTCATGTTGGTTTAGCTACTACCTGGTTTAGTTGGGCTTGCAGGAAAGCCTGCACCCGCCTTTACCATCTTAGTAGAACCACTTGGGTTTTCGGCGCTGATCAATTCCATTTGCTTGCCTGGCGACAAGGCATGCTATCTCCTTGGGCAGATGGGCGGGACTTGCAGCAGGACCAGCTACCACGCCCTGATGAGTGCCTTCACGGTTCTTGGCACGTGTTTTAGTTTTTGAAGTTGCTTTTGTACCGTTGGATTGCAGAGGCTGCAAAGAACTGACAGCGCATTTTGCTAGGAGCAAGGGTTGGTAAGGCGTGCTTGGTGCTGCCAGCTGCTGGCAAAGAGCGGTGCTGCTGCTGCCAAGGGCGGAGGCCAGCCCGGGAGAGGCCTCCCCCTGGGCGGCAGCGATTGCAGCCTGCGGCAGTGGTGAGCAGTGGGCCTTTGCGGTCTTTCTGTTGAAGCAGATGCCGAAGGTTGGCAGACTTGGGGGAGCCTTCCAGGCCGGAATGGCTGCTTGTCAGGACCGTTGGCAACTTGTCCTGCAGATTCTGGACATGGTGGCAGTGGATGGAACTTGGAGTCCTGATGCAGGACACTTCCAGACCGCGATCACTGCTTGCAGTGCACAGTGGGAATGGGTTTTGCATTTGCTGGCAAAGGCCTCTGACTCCGGGACTTCGCTGGGCGTGGCTGCATTCCAGAGAGCCCTCGCTGCTTTTCGCGTTGCGGGTGTGTGGCAGATTGCTTTGGGCTGCTTGACGTGCTGCCCCGAGCCCGATGCCAGCATTCTCGCGACGCTGGTTGCCACCGTGGGTGACGTCAGCCAGTGGCAGGTGGCACTGACGCTGCTGCTGCATGAGAACTGCGACGGCGCAGCAGCGAACGCGGCCATCACAGCCTGCGAGCGAGCGTCTGCATGGTCTGAGGCTTTGAAGATCTTCTGGGACATGCCACGGCTCCGGCTTCAGCGGGATGTGGCTTGGATGGGTTTGTTGAGAGGGCTCCATGCCACAGAAGCCTATCGCCTGCTGAAATGTGGGGGTCCCCCCCCCTCCTGTTGGATGGTTGCAGTATCACCTTGGGACTGAATTTGAGTCACGGGGGGAAAGGGGGTTCGGCAGCTGCCAGCCAAAGTCGGAGGCCCAACCACCTGAGGCCACCAGCCTGGGCGCTGCAGTGGGTGCGAGCCCTTGGCCTTTGGCCCTGGAACTGCTGGATTTCGCGGAGAACGATGACAGCCTGCGACCCACTGCGGAGCCAGAGCTAAAGAGTGTTTTCGACCTGTGGATTTGTTTTGTTTGTTGTTCTCTCTCTTCCATGTTGACCCACAAAGGAAGCACCACTGCTTGTCCCCATCAACGATCCAGGGACCCCACCAATTGTCCTGATCAAATCGGTACCAAGGAGAGTTACAATGCAGCCATCAACGCTTGCAGTTCTGAAGGCTTGTGGCAACTTGGCTATTTTGATGCGGCCTTTCTGAGAGGTCGCCTCTCGTGTTTAACACCACCCCGCCATTTTTTGCAGTGCGGACACCTTGGGTCTGAGGCAAGCATCGCTATCCCTGCTGGTTGGGATGGAGCGCGCTGAGATCCGCCCAGACGACATTACCTGTGGTGCAGTTGTCAGCTCATGCGAGCCTTGGCCGGGCGGGCAGCGCCAGAAAGCCCTAGTGGCCAGATTCCTAGGTGGTTCTATTCCCTGGCTTCACGGAGCTAGAGTAAAGCGATAGTAACCATAGTCCTCCCGGTAGAACCAACATGTCTTCTTGGTCGGAACTTCCCAGTTTTCAGTCGGAACTTGCCATGGATTTGTCGCTTTTGGGCACCAACTTGGAGCCAAGGAACCAGAAGGCCAATGGGAACTGGCGCTTCACCTGCTTTGGAGGCAGTCTGAGTTTTCTTCCACTCAATGCTTTGACATCATGAACCGGCTGTTGGTGACCTGCACGAGGCATTGCCAGACAGGCTTACCTTTCTATTGAACTGTTTTTCCCTTCAGTATTTTCTGAATCAGCAAAAGGCGAGCTTTTTGCAGGGGTCTAAGTTTGGCCAAGGAAGTGGGAGCACTCTTTGTCCCTTTTCGCCAGCATGCTGAAGCAGCGGCTGCTGGCCAACGGCATGCACGCTGCCTCCACCTGCAGCCTTTTGCAGAAGACGAGCCCGCAAAAGGCGGCCGAATTCTTGGATGACTGCCTGGACCTTTGGAAAAGTGGCGTCAAATGCTCTTGGCATGTTGTCTAGTTGTCTCCTTTGGTGGTTCTTTTCAATTTTAATGCGGGGGCTCCAAAGAGCACATACCAAGGGGTTGGCAAGGTGAAGACCACGAGATCCTGCGCTACGACTTGCTGGCCCTCCAACGCCCCCAGGCCGGCTGCAACGTGAGGGTGCTTGCAGCGAGGCCTGGCATGGTTGCCGTGTCCAAGCCGCCGCAGCGGACGACCAAAGCTGTCATCGACCATTTGGGCGACTGCATGCGAGCCCTCCGCCAGCCTGCGCTTTTCACCTCAGTGCCACTGGGCGTCATGTGTTTCGTCACGGAAATTGCCCCGATTATTTGTTTCAGAATCATGGTTCGTTCCTGTTTGAATTGGGGTTACGAACCTGTGAAACCCATAGATGGAGATTTACAACCCCATTTGCCACCAAACCATTCAGCTGGCAAAGCCTATGGCAGGGTTGTGTTGTTTGTTGAGGTTATACTTCTTCACCCAAACCGACGGGATCCCTATTTTGACTCACGCAGTGGTGTTCCCACGTGCAATCTATTCAAAATAGCAAAGTTGCGTTTAAACCTGTGAACCGCAATGGTTTGCCTTTGGTTTCCCTTGCTATCCGAAAAGGGGTCCACATCCCATATTGAGAAGCCCCAAATGGCTTACAAAACCCATAGCCAGACATCCCTTCGGCAGGTCGCGTCTCGACTTCCAGACCTCAGGGGTTTTGGTGGTAGCCTTTGGTGGGATAAGCTCGGTGGCGGTGAACTGGCTGCAGGCCCAGTTCGCGCTGCGACTCGACGTCTATCATATTTGTCTTCTTGTCCGTTGTTGTGGAGGGTTCGAGGTTGCTTGGCTTGGTTAGTCGGTTAGTCGGTTGGTTGCTTGCTTGCTTGCTTGCTTGCTTGCTTGCTTGCTTGCTTGCTTGGCTTGGTTAGTCGGTTGGTGGGTGGGTGGGTTGGTGGGTGGGTGGGTGGGTAGGTGGGTTGGTTTGGTTGGTGGAGTGCCTGCTTGGTTGCTTGGTTGTTTGGGTCGGTTGGTCGGTCGGTTGGTCGGTTGGTCGGTTGGTCGGTCGGTCGGTCGGTCGGTCGGTTGGTTGGTTGGTTGGTTGGTTGGTTGGTTGGTTGTACCTCTTAAAGCTCCAACCTTACACCTTAATGACACCTTCCAGTTTTCTAGAGAATTTGTTGTTTCCCAAGCCTTGCTTTTTGGTCTCCCTTTGTTTGGAGAGAAGCGCGCGATCAGTGGGTTCCTTCCGTTTTGACCTACCCACACCCATTTGCCCAGTGGCATCCTTGAGTTCATCCACCCCTTTCGGGGGCTGAGGCGAAGGGTGCGGAAGCGCTATCTCTGCTTGGTCCAGGGCCCGCCCTTGGGGGAGCTGGGCACCCGGGGCGAAATCTGCAAACCGCTGCTGAAGCCGCACCAGAGAAGCTTATGTTCTTCCCTTTTTGGTGTCTCAAAATGAATGAGGGACGTCCTGAGTTCGTGGACTGTGTATCTTTGGGAGGTCCACGTTTGTGACAACCAAAAGTTTGAAAAGTTTGAACTGCCGTGTGGCCAATAGGAAGTGAGATGGGTGTCCAAGCCTCACCCAAAAAAACAACAAGTACTTGTTCGACCAAATGTACGCAAGTGAGGCTGCTGGCCAGATCTGTCCTGTCTCAGAATGGGCCGGCAGTCAGGGTGGAAGTGAGCGAGATGGGACGTGAGGCACACACAAAGTACGAAGTTTTGGAAAGGTATCAAGTGCCTGGAAGCTCGCTTGAGTTTGCAAGCGTTGCTGTGGTACTTTGCTTTGCCGTTGAAGATTGCGCGATTGCGCGGTTGTCAATTGGAGCAGCTCAGGAGCTGAGCCCTCCCATGAGGAAGTGATGCTCCTGCAAGCTTCTCCAACTACTGGACGCACACATCAAATCCGAGTTCACATGGCCAGTTTGGGCAGGTCTTTGGTGGGCGACCTTACCTATTCTGGTGCTACATGGGCGCCCCGGTTGTTCTTGCACTGCCACCGCATGGAGATGCAAGACCTGAATCGCGAGGCCTTTGTAGTGGAAGAGGCCTTGCCTCCAGATTTGCGGCATGTCCTTGGCCGCTTGCGAAAACACCTTTTTGCCATTCATGAATGTCGTTGTTGTACTCTTATCCAGTTCAACATTGATGAGTCTGAACTATAAGTTACGAGTATATAATGCTGGGGATGTGTCAAGCCAAAGTTGGCATTATATCCACGCATATAATATATGTTTTTTGAAGTGAGCCCAGGTGCCATCTCCAACAGCAACTCTCGGAGGATTCATCCGGTCGAGTCCGGAGCTCCGAACTTCCGAACAATATGGACACCCAGCGCCGAAACCCTCCAAACCCTCAGTACTCGCTCCAAGGAACACCCGAAACCGGCCTCGACGGAACCCACGGGAGCCGTTGAAACTAGTCAGAGCCCTGCGAAACTCTACCCAGCGCATTGCGCGTTGCCTTTCTCTAACTTTGGATCCCGACTTCAGGTCGCTACCGCGAGTGCCATTTTCGCGGTTTTGGGATGTGACTCCACCATCTTTTCAAGCACAGTTGCCTTTGGCTCAAGGAACGGCGCGCGAGTTAATGTCCAGCACTCATGGCAGCTGCCAGGAAACGCTTGCAAGAGCTATTCGAGAAGTACGACACGTCGGGAGATGGCGTCATGAGTTCTTTGGAGCAATTGCTGCATGTGTTTGCTTGCTTCTTTGGAAGAGAGGGGTCCCAACTTGAAGGCTCACCCAAATGGTCCGGTAAACTTTGTTTCAGACTGTTTTGTATCTGTGTTTTTTGTTGTGGGGGAGGGGGAGGGGGGGGCGGGTGAGGGTGGTGGAAGATGGCGTTGTTGAGATCCATTTTCTGGCTTCGGGGTTGATCGTTTCGGATGGTTTGCTACGCTTGCCAGACTTGTAAGCCAAACAGACATATGACAAAACAGTAGATTCGGGGAAAGGCAAAGGTAGAATCATGTCAATGTGATGGCAAGGAACAAAACCGGCAACAGCCATAATACGTATGAGCATTGTCGAGGTGAGGATGAAATGGTGGGGCTCTTATCCAATTTGCTGGATATCCCCACGGGCCGGTGCCGAGATTGGTTTCACAAAGCCGATGGCAACCGTGATGGCGTGGTTCAGGTGCACGAATTCATCGCCTGGCTGACCGACAACCCGCCCTTTTCGCGTGTCTTTGAGAATGAGAAAGATGGGAAGAAGACGGTGGATGCTTGGTTTGTCTTTCTGTCGGTTTCAATCTTTTTCGCAAAAATGCTGCATTGTTTCCCTCCCCAGCCACAAGCAATGAACGAAAAAGCCCCTTCGGCAAACTCGTCTAGTAATTTAGGAGCCATCATGACCCATCTGGAGAAGCCAAACCTCTACGGTCTAAGGATGTAACCATCGTGAACCCCTCCGGAGCCGTGGGCCAGGTGCTGACCCTGACTGTCAAGAATCACGAAAATGTGGGTTTCCCAAAGGGAAATCCCATCGAACTCCGGGTGAAGCCAGGAGAAACCATCACTGAAACTTTGTTGATGGTGGAGTCTGAGCCCTTCAAGTACCACTACGCTACTAGTTGCTCTGCATGCAGTCTGAAGTTCTTTCATTTTCAGCCCTCCAAGCGGTCTTTCGGGATGCAATTAGCGCATCCTGAAGTCTGAGCTTCCCAGGCTGGCGTGCTGATTGGGCTGGCGTTCAAGACGACCCCAACGCTTTTGTGGACCCCGACTTCCCGCACGACGCGTCCAGCATCGTGGATCCGGAGCGGCCGAGTCTGGACCTGGGCGCCACCGAGCGCTGGATGCGCGCGCGGATGCTGGGAGACCCAGGGGAAGCTCTGCTCTTCGACAAGGTGGGGATTGAAGCCGGAGGTACCCTTCTGGCTGATTCAAAGGGAACTGAAGGGAGGGTGGGTCTTTTTGAGGTTGGCTTTTTGAAACCCCATTGGTGTCTCATTGTCCAGGTGAAGCCGCAAGATATCAAGCAAGGCGCAGCAGCTCGGAACTGACCGACTCGAGTGTCTACGAATACACGTCGATTTGTTCAGATCCGTCCCAAGCCATGAGCAGATTCACACGAGACGTCACATGCCCTTTGTGGGCGTTTTGGAGGCACGCCAGCATGTCTAATGTTTGGCGACAAATCTGAGGTGGGAGACTGCTGGCTGGTGTGTGCCTTGGGTGCGATGGCTGCACATCCGGAGAAGTTAAAGAGCCTGTTCCACACCAAGCACATCACTGAAGATGGTAAGTATCTTATTTGGCTCTATGACGTCTATGAGAAGAAATGGACACAAGTGGAGGTTGATGAGTTCTTACCATGCATGATCCAGAATGGAAGGCCGACTCCCTCCTTTGCGCGTCCCTTGGGAAATGAGTTGTGGGTTTTACTGCTGGAGAAGGCTCTTGCTAAGTTTTGTGGAAGCTATGGAAAGCTCCACAGCGGCTATTCCAGTTGGGCTTTCCAGGTGCTCACCGGCAAAGCCGATTATATTGCCTTTTTGAAGGAGAAGAGCGGCTGGCGGAAGTGCAAGCCACAAAAAATGTCAAAGGAGGACGCCCGCAACCCGCGATTTTTCAAGATGAAGTATGCCGGATGGGGCTCACACAGCGGCCCGGCCATACGAATGTACGAAAAGAGCGCATTTGTTCAGACGAACTAAATGCCTTGTTGGTGTGTCCAAACAGGGCATCCTCAAAACCATTGCGTGAAGCTTCACCAAGGCAAGGCTGATCTCTTCAAGTTCTTGAAGTCGCACGTGGAAGACAAACATGTCCTTCAGTGCTCGATCAGCAAGCAGGGCGCAGCTGCAGAGGCGAGGCTTTCCAATGGCCTGCTGTGCCATCACGCCTATGCCTTGCTGAAGGTCATGACCGAGAAGCTGGACGATGGAAGTGACGTGCACTTGGTGCAGGTGTCCAATCCACATCACACAGGGGAGTGGAAAGGTGATTGGAGTGACCCAACAAGAAGATTCAGTATACACGTGTGCGTGGCGATTTGGATTGCTTTGTCTGATGCAGAAAGTAGGTCGGCTTAATATGAAACAAACTTGGACAACTTGATTTTCTTTGATATTCAGTGTAACCCTGTTGGCCAAGCACGCCTAGGTGACTACAACATCTTCAAGAAGGGCCTGAATTCGGACAAATGGGCGGAGAACCCTCAGCTCACCCGGCGATTGGCGGTGACCCGCTGTGATGAAGGCACCTTCTTCATGTCCTTCGACGACTGGGAGGCCAACTTCTCTAAGGCGGGCTGCAACAAGAAAACATGGCTGGGATGTTCACAAGCCTCAAACCTTACTGGGCCGCACCCGCCTTCCACCGGCAGTTGCTGAAAATGTGGGGATCGATACTCCCAATTTGTAGTCCGCAGTGGGGAACCACTACAATAAGGGAAGCCACTACTATCTTGCATAAGCTTGGCCTCCTCCGTTCAATGAGGTTTTTAGGGTTTATAACCCTTTATAATTGAAACTTATAGCCAAAGCATGCGGTGAGCTTTTGTTTTGCACGCCCGATGCATTTTGACAATGTCAGTATAGTACCCGATGCACCGTGGCAGCATACAACAATTGCTGCAGCTGATGAACGCCAGCGCAGACAAGCCGCTGTGGATGAACCTCAAGCCACTCAAATTTAAACTGCAAAGTATGTTGCAAAAGCAAACCCGGCGACAAGCCCACAAACACTTTTTCGGGACCTGTTTTTCGACATTTTGGATAGTCTGAAAGTGTTTAATGCCCTCTCAAAGGGAGCTTCTGCTTGGAAGCATGGACTACAACGCAAGACCATTGCCCGTTTGAGGTGGTCCTTTGTCCGGTGGGCAAGCCCATTGATCCAGAGAAGGACGACACCGGCGAAGATGCCGAAGACGACGAGCAGCCGCAAGGCTTCTTCGCCAGCTTGTTTGGATGGTAGGGTGTGGTAGCCCATGGCTTGAGGGTCATAGACCATCCCGAAACGTTTCACGACTCCAGCACAAGGGCTTGCCTATTTCATGGTCGCCTTGTTTCAAAAGAGGGCAAGTTTGTCAAATGTTCGCACTGTGGATGTATGCGGATGTTTTGACAAGCCCTAGTGCTTAGAGGCACTTATTTCAACTGGTTGTGATTTTTTGGACGTTGCCTCTCAACTATCGAGGTGGTGTGAGACGAAGTCTGCAACATTTACAGTCCTGAAATGCTGACTGTATCAACTCCAGAGACGATGATGGCAAAAGCTGTCACCTGTTCTGGAAACTCTCATGTTCCGATGGACATCTACTTTAAAATGTGACAGAGGCCAGAGGCTGAATAATAACTTGGAAAAACAATATTATTATAGAAATACATTTCTTTAGTGAAAATATACAGTACATTTATAGTTAGTGGAAATTGAATATTGATTATTGTTTGAATTGTTTGTATTGAATTGTGGGGTAAATTTATGTGTAAAATAAAATGATTATAATTAAATAATCTAAATAAATTGGTATATATTTAATTAAATACATAACAAATATATATATATATATGGTTAAATAATATTAATTATATTAGTTAAATATATTTATTATATTAATAATAATATTAAAATTATAATTTGGGAATATTTATTTATGATTTAAATTATGTATATTTATTTATTGGTATAATTAAATTATAAATAATAATAATTAAATATATATATATATATATTTATAATATATATATAGATTATATATATTTATATTCTCCTATAAACCGGTACGGCCTTAAGGTCGCATTTCCCGTGCACCGGCAAGTCGTTGTAGTGGTCGGAGGTCGCGGCACAAGTTCCGGCCTCTTCGCATGGCCCGGAAGGCCCCGAAATTTTGCCGAAATTTTGGGGGACTTTTAACAACTTTGCTTAGAGTTCCCGGCCAAATTTTCCCGAATTTTGGGGTCGCTTCCGGCGATACGGCTCTTAGGTTTCCGGACGTTACCCCCAGCAAATTTCTTCAGAATTTGGTGGCTTTCCAAAAAAATACCGGGCCAAATTTCGGGGAAATTTGGGGACCTGTCCGAATCGAAATTTCTCGAACATTTCGTGCCGGGTGTCTCCGTATCCTTGCCTCTCTCTGTGTCTCCTAGTCTGTTTCCGTGTGTCCGTATCTATTTGTTTCGTAATCTCTGTCTTTCTCTGTTTATCTTTGTGCATCTCTGTGTATCCTAATCTGTTTCTTTTTGGTGTTTGCGCCTCTTTGTCTCTATCTGTCTGTTTGTGTCTCTCTGTCTCTCGGGTTGTCTCGGTTTGTCTCGGTTTGTCTCGGTTTGTCTCTGTTTGTCTCTGTTTGTCTCTATGTGGCTGTAGCTATCGTTCGTCTCTATTTATTTCTGTCCTCCTGTTATATATATATCTCTCTCTCTCTCTTTCTTTTTCTCTCTCTCTTTTTTCCTCTTTTCTTTCTTCTCTTTTTGTTTTCTTTCTCTCTTTCTCTCTTTCTCTCTTTCTCTCTTTCTCTCTTTCTCTCTTTCTCTCTTTCTCTCTTTCTCTCTTTCTCTCTTTCTCTCTTTTCTCTCTTTTCTCTTTGTTCTGTCTTTCTCTCTTTCTCTCTTTCTCTCTTTTCTCTCTTTTCTCTTTTTTCTGTCTTTCTGTTTTTCTCTCTTTCTCTCTTTCTCTCTCTTTCTCTCTCTTTCTCTCGCTTTCTCTTTTTCCTTATTATAGAGGTTTTTAATTTAAATTTTAATAAATATTTAATTAATTACTTTAGAGCCTCCGGCTCAGTCCGCCGACATTGTCCTCTCCCTTTTCTCCTTCTTCCTCTCTTCCTTGTCTCCCTTGTGTGTTCTGTCGTCCTCTCTCCCTCCCTCTGCTCCCATCCTCCCCATCCCCCCAAGCCTCTCTCTCCCCAATCTCCTTCTCTCGTATGTATGCATGCATGTACATAAGTATGTACGCATGTATGTATGTATGCATGTATGTATGTATGTATGTAATGTAAGCAAGTAAGTAAGTAAGTACGTAAGTAATGTAATGTAATATAATGTAATGTCATGCCATGTCATGTCATGTCATGGCATGTCATGTCATGTCATGTCATGTCATGTGATGTGATGTAATGTAATGTAATGTAATGTAATATAATGTATGTATGTATGTATTCATGTATGTATAATGTATGTATGTATAATGTGAATGTAATGTAATGTATGTATGTGTGTAATGTATGTATGTATGTATGTATGTATGTATGTATGTTATGTTATGTTATGTTATGTTATGTTATGTTATGTTATGTTATGTTATGTTATGGTATGGTATGGTATGGTATGGTATGTATGGTATGTATAATTATGGTATGGTATGGTATGGTATGGTATGGTATGGTATGGTATGGTATGGTATGGTATGGTATGGTATAGGTATGGTATGGTATGTATATATGTATGTATAATGTATGTATATGTATGTATGTATGTATGTATGTATAATGTATATGTATGTATGTAATGTAATGTATGTAATGTATAATGTAATGTAATGTAGTGTGATGTGATGTAATGTAATGTAATGTAATGTAATGGAATGGAATGGAATGGAATGAATGGAATGCAATGGAATGGAATGCATGAATGCAATGTAATGCAATGCAATGCAATGTTACAATATAGAATAAATATTAATAATTGAAAGTAATGAAAATATGATGTAGTAGCAATGTAATATGATGTAATGCAAAGTAATGCAATGCAATGCAATGCAATGCAATGCAAATGCAATGCAATTAGCAATGCAATGCAATGCAATGCAATGCAATAATGCAATGCAATGTAATGTATGTGTGTATATATGTATATGTATGGATGTATGAATGTATGTATGTAATGTAGGTATGTATGTATGTTATGTTATGTAATGTAATGTAATATATATATATATATGTATGTTTATACATATGTAATGTAATGTAATGTAATGTATATATATATATATATAGGTATGTATAAAATGCATATATGTATGTATGAATGCATGTATGTATGTTTGTATATTTGTGGGTAATATATATATGAAATGTAATGATGAAATGTAATGTATATATGCATATATGTATATATATATATATTTCTCTTTGTTTTTTTAGCGTTTTTGTAAAGAGGACGTCCAAAAATATTGAATGTTTCCCAGATTTTCGGCAAAAGGATGTAGGAAGCCTAAGCCAGCAAAAAAACCGGCAGGGGGAATCGAGCCTGGGATTTTTATTTTGCAACACCGGCTCCCCGAAGATTACGTTTGCCGCGCGGTATGTGGGGGACCGCTCCCCCCCCCCCCCCACCTACGTAATAGACGTCGGGCTGGGGGGGGGTTAGGGGGGGTGGGTTATCCTCTATCCTCTAGGAAGTATTCGTTATGCTTCGGCGGATATTATTTTTCTTATAATTGTTGTTGTAATTTATTTAATTTATAATGTTTATTTCTTATTCTGCGAATCTATTCGAGAATATTCGATAGAAATTTTGATTACTTAGGGGAATGATAATATTTTTATTAATTATATAAATATAATTGTTTAATGTCGTCCGAAATCGGTCGAATGATATATTTTAAATGCGCTTGAATATTCTTTATTATTTTGGATTATGTTTATATTTTGTATTCGGATTATATTTAAGGTATATTTAGGGTATATTTAAATTGTATTTAATTGTCTTTAAATTACGTTCGAGTTGTATTCGTATATGTGATTGAATTTTATTCGAGATTGTTCGGAGTGGATAATTCCGTTCGAAAGCGGTCTTTTTCTCGGGGAAGCGTTCGGAAGCATTTGGGTGGGCGCGTTTTGCGGCGTTCGGCAGGCATTATAAAATGAAAAAGATTGTTCCGAATAAAACATATTTCAGATAGCTCCTTATAGGTATCTCATATGATCGTTGGAACCGTTTAAGATTGACCCCAATCTATAAAAATCCGTGCTGGAGCGACTAAGGGCCAAATCCGTGTTATTTTGTTTTGGTATTAAAATTATCATTTTGGAAGAATATTAATTAGATATAAATATCTAAACTAATTGAATATTTATAAAATTATATAAATAAATATGAAATATTAATACATATAAAATTATATATATATTAATTGTTAAATAATATTATTCCAAAAAAATATTAAATATATATTCGATATATATTTTGAATTAATCAAGAATAATATATCAAAGTCGATTTATATAATAAATAGAATTATATTTATTCTTCTAATTCAAAAGGTTCTTTGTAAATATATATCTTATAATTTCCATATTGTATTTTTATTTTTGGGATTCTTATCAGATTTTTTTTTTATGAATTATAAAATATATTAATATATATAATATATTTATAAAATTAGGATTAAAATAATATTTCATTAATTAATGAAATTATAATTTAATTAATATATTTATATAATAATTAATATTATATATATATATATTTTTGGCAATTGATCAATATTCCTGCTTCCGGAAAACATCATCTTCGCGAGAAAAAAAAAATCTTTCGTGAATCATTCGCGATTCCATCGCCATTCCCTTTTGTTTGCAGCGTGCGCTCTGGAGCCATTGTGGCTGCTGCAATTGTGTTTGCAAACATAGTAATAGCTTCAGCCGCAGCTCACTTGCGCTGGCAGGCTTACAGTAGGGTTAAAAGAAAGCAGTCACCGTCATTCGCCCTTGTCACTTGCGCTTGCCGGGGAAGTGCGGAACCTTGCAACAAACTCCATGGACTTTGGCCGGTCTTTCGCGCCAAAATAGTTCAGACAACGTTATTGGTTTGCACCATTCCCAACACAGGAATGAGAATCAATAATGCAAATATAAGTGCTATGCATCTCCCTGTCTATAAGGGAGCAGGATCTGCAAATATACAAGTGTACAAAATGACTCCAAGAACCCAATGCGGAATCTTTCGCGAAAAAAACAATTCTTTCGCGAACTCCAT